CCATGCATTCAAAGAATCAAGGCCCCACCATCTATAAACTTTGTGAGTTCTAATATTTAAGCTGGACAAATCAAAAGAAGTTTGTGACTATATTTCTATTTCAAAAAAAGCTTACCATTAACCAGCAAGAATGATTTAATTTCTTTAAAATTGTTTAAAGTTGTCCTTTCTCCAAGTGTATTTTATTTGGCATTCCATTAACGTCAGACCAAATAAATTATAATAAAAAAAGGCCACATGCCTTAATCAGACGTTTTTTTATTTTTGCCAATTTAAATTCCAATGAGCATCACAATTTCCAATTTAATATGGAAATATATGCATTTGAAATCGAATTTTCAACTTTAGCTAACGGTATGGCAATAGCAACAACAATAGTCAAAACAACAACAACAATGATATGCCATGAAATGGGATTCCAGACGAAAATCCAGCTAACAACATAGGAACTCAGAGCTAGAAAATCTGAGAGCCAAACAAAAATAAAACGAACTAACTAATCCTTTTTTCGCATTTGGTTCGCCTTCGAAAAATGTCATCATCAGCAGGTTGTGCGTGGTCACTACACACACACATACACATACACACACACACACACACCCACACAGACATCCATATAATAGGAGAAAGAGAGAAAGAGACTGCCACTCAGCGTAACTTTTTATGTGCAACATAGCAGAATGATTGTGTTCCGTTCCAGAAATATCAGCACAACAAGCACTACAACAGCAACAGCAACAACAACAACAACATCTTAAGCCATTTCGCATAAAATTTCACACACCATTTTAGCCAAGTGCCACATTACCTGCACTCACACACACACACACACATACACACAAAGACACACACCTACAAGCACGAAAGCAAACTCAAACTGAAGTCTTGGCCAAAAACGAGTTGAGAAAAGCAAGAGAAATAGAAGAAAAAAAAGTGCCAAGGAAAATGTTGAAAAACACGAAACTGAACATAAAAATACCTTTTGACACATGCAAGACGGCCAACTGGAGGGGGCGAACAGGGAAGGGATGGTGGGACGGGGTTAGAAGCGGTTGGCCACACAACAGGCAGCCAAGGAGCCAAACAGGCAGGCAGCTTAAAATCAGCGCCGAGCATGAAGAAAATGGAGTAAATGGAACAACGAATGAAACGAGTGCAAAAAAAATCTTGAAAATTGCATTTTAAGAAGAAGTTCGTGTTGCTATAACGGAAAATCTATATAAACACACAATTGCACACACACACACAGACACACACATACACAAATATTTATACACTTGAATGTAGCCAGTGGTCGCTAGTTGGCCGCATATGTGTGTAGCAACAACTAGCCAGCATGTTAGCCAAATCCAATACAATTTTAACGATAATGCGAAGAAGCAGCGATTTCTCTGTGTGTGTGTGTGTGTGTGTGTGTGTGTGTGTGTGTGTGTGTGTGTGTGTGTGTGTGTGTGTGTACGTGCTGGGAAGGGTGTATGTGAGAGGGTGTGAACGAAATTGATATGACCAACGCAATGGGCAATAGCATGAGATTGGGTTGTGTCTGTGCTGGTGCCTTAAAAAAGCAATAGCTAAAATCACGTATACGCAGCGTAAACACAAAAGCCCGACACATTGTTGCAAGAATCATGCGTTGCCATAGCACTGAACCCAACCACACCCACCTCCCTATATCCTCGTCAAAACAACAGCAGCAAGAAAATGCGCCAACGCATGGCAGCAACAACAAATTATGACAACAAATTGCAAACAAACAAGCAACAAACAAGTGAATCACCTTTAACGCTTCCTTTTGCACTTTTAGTTCGGAAGACAACACAAAAAACTGCCAGCAACAAACTGTCTAGGCATGGAGTGGGGGCAAGCGTAAGCAAGTGCCACCAGACAGGCAGTTTATAAGCCGTGCAGCTGAGCGGGTTAGGCTGAATCCTCTGCTCCACTCCTTCCCCTGCTCGTCATAACTTCAACCGCCACCGTCGTCGACGTCGACTTCGACGTCGTTGGCTGCCTGCAAGCAGTGACAAAACTACTCTGGAAGACAGGCAGTGGAGCAGACAGAAAGTATAACGGACAGACAGACAGACAGACAAACTGCCAAGCAGGTGGCAGTTGACAGTTGGCACGACGCTTTCATCGAAACAGCTGTCGAGCCACCACAACACATAATGGTTCATATCGGGGCAAATCTATTCAATTATGAATTTTCTACAATTCCTAAAGAAGAGGTAAACTCTTTCACACCACATAGGTAGCTGGTTTGAGTCTAAAATCACAAATTTGAAAGTTGATAATTGTTTAAGAAATGACGCATAGCATCAACGATAGAGCATAGATTATTGGAAAATGCTGGCAATCTATACATATGTTAAAGCTGATCGACTATAGACTCTTGCCTTTTAATCGACTCTGCTTTCATAGCTCTCAAGTTTTCGACCATAAGTCCACTGTTTAACAGTCTGTAGATTAGAAGGATAAAAAGATGTCACCGTCTGGACTTGTCCTTTTGGCTGCACTAAGCACATGTCTGTGACATTCTTTTTTGAACTGTTCCAAGACTTAATTTATTGTATTATTTAAGATATGCAACTTATTAACGTATAATTTATAATAACATAGTTATTCTCCAGAAAAGAAGGAATACTAAGAAAGGCAATTCTTTTAAAGAACAAATGTGTTCTCAAATATCGGCAAAATTAAATATATAATAGTTATACAAGTATATAGATAGTTTTTATTTAGCTTTTTATTTATTTTACTTTTGAACTAGAGACTAGAATTTTTAATGTTTTAATACAGCAGCATCGAGTGGTTTTAAATATCGGCACAATTACCTATGCCAACTAACTTTTATTCAGTATATTTTTTTTCCAAACTTTGCCATGTATTCAAATTTTTTAAAAGCTTTTGAAACAGACATACCACAATTATAAAATAATTGGTGTTTGGAGGTATCTTATAACGATAAAGTTGACTAAGCCAACTAACTGTTATTCAGTATTTTTTTCCCCAAACTTCTTCTTCATGTTCATATACAATATTTTTAAAAGCTTTTTAAATAGACATACCAGAATTATAAAATAATTGGTGTTTAGAGGTATCTAATAACGATAGAGTTGACTAAACTATTTTTGCCAAAAACTTTAATCAACTTTATATTTGGATAAACTTTATTTAGTATCTAATTTGTATTCCCTGTATTTTATTTCCAAAACTTTGCCATCTATATGCTGTTTTTAAAAGCTTTTTAAAAATACTTGTACTTCCCATGTTAAAAAGGAGACTGGTGCTTATAGTTTCGATATCGTGGACTTAAATATTTATGTAGTGCTGTTGCCATAAACTTAAATCAACTCTAGAATAGACTTTTTCAATGGCTCTTATTTTCAAATGTATTGACTGACAATAAGCAGCTTACACTTTCAACACTAAGCATCCAATATCATCAATATTAACTAGCAATCCAAATGTCCATTCGAAGTCTGAGTCTGATATACCAACATGATTTTATACTTCCAATAACGAAACGATTGAAATTGTACATATTTTATTACTATATTATTGTCTCTTTAGATAAGATTCGCCCACACAGATACCCATTGCTATCCATTGTGCAACGCTGGCGGCACACAGAGGATGTTGGACGGCACATCGAACAGCAGCTACAGCTACGGCTACGGATAAAGACCAAGACATGCATGTCAAAGGACATGGCGCTGTGTTGCTTTTGCTTAACAATCAAAAGCGGAAGTAAGCATCGTGTTGCTGCGGTGGGGAGCAGTGTGGTGCGGCAGAGGTGCGGGTGTGGTTTAGCAAAAAGAAGGACGCAGAGAAGTTTGTTTTCTTGCGGCGGCAATGCATGTGCATGACTGGCATTTGTGCTGCTGCCTCTGATGTTGCTGATTTCTGTGCTCTGGCTTTGCAACGACAGCAAAAACTAAGACAACAAGACTGCCACCTGGCAGGTGTAGCTCCGCAACCATAACCGACACAAAAATATCACTTTAAAGTTTCGTGCCGTCGCTTGTGTTGGTTTTGACATGAAATTGCATTACATTTCACACAGTAGACAGCCGACAGCCGACAGCAAATAGCAAATATCAGGGCATCGGCGACACGAAAGAGTAAAAGAGCAAGGCAGCAGACTCTAGACAGTAGACGGTAGACAGTGGAGAGAAGACATTAGACAAGGGACAGCATTGAGTATGAGCTCGCTGACATCCATGAGTTGAGTTTTGACTGCAGTTCTGAACATTGTCTTATTTCCACAGCAGTTATGTCGTGCTGTCCAGACAGACGACCGAAGTCCAAAAATGAAGTGTGAAAATAAGTTGGTCTCGTCACCCCACAACTAAAGCAACCCCAATATCCAGGGATGGGAAAAATATTAAAAACATTACCATATTGCTCGAAACGTACTTTAAGACTAAATTAATATTAATTAATAACTTGTTGTACCGTAGATTTTAAAGGTATAACTCTAAATTTTTAGATAATTAATGATTTTTAAAAGCTTCACAAAGTTCTAGAGGATATATTCCTATACTCTGTTTTTAAAGAGTATTTATTTTTTTGATAATTCCTTGCTAATTATATTGTGTAGGTGTACATAATTCATCTTTGAAGGATTCACATTTTACTGAATTGTTTTGCGGAAAATTCTAACAATTCTTAAATTGCATTTATATAAGAAGTAGAACGATATTTAAAATATCAGCTCATACTTTGTGAGATAATTCATATATTTAAGTGCAGCTTGAGGGGTAAAATAATATTGATTTGCAAAGACTATCAATGTCTGAGATAGGACACTGTTTCGTCGAGTTTCTACTAAAAAATATTTGTACAATTAATTTAGGTTTATAACACACTTAACTATATTAGATCTAAATCAGTTGACAGATCGAACAGACAAATACGAAAAGACAACGATGAATTTTATATCATACAAATGCCCAAAGAAAAGCCCATTCTCGCATGAATATTTAAAATTTAGCTTACAATTTTGATAAACAAATAATAGCATATTTATTTATTTTTATTAAAGTTATAAAACCACCCTTTGGCGATTAAATAAACAAATGTATGTGTACTTCCATATCGGTGCATAATTTATATGAATTAAGTTCATTTAACATCTTCTGTTTGAATGCGATGTTAAACTTGTGAACCAAATTACAAAGTCCTTGTAGAAATGTGTAAACATTACTTTCTGTACCACATCTGCAGCGTCTTCATCCGTTTCACTTTCTTCTGTAGCTGCAGCACGCCGTACATGAGGGCTTCAGCCGTGGGAGGACAACCAGGCACATAGATGTCGACGGGTATGATGCGGTCACAGCCGCGTACCACCGAATACGAATAGTGGTAGTAACCACCACCATTTGCACAACTGCCCATTGAGATGACCCACCTGGGCTCGGGCATTTGATCGTACACCTTTCGCAGCGCTGGCGCCATTTTGTTGGTGAGGGTTCCGGCGACAATAATGACGTCCGCTTGACGTGGCGAAGCGCGGAACACAACGCCGAAACGGTCCATGTCGTAGCGTGGAGCGGCGATGTGCATCATTTCTACGGCACAACAGGCCAGTCCAAAGGTCAAAGGCCACATGGAGCCCTTGCGTCCCCAATTGAGAAGATCGTCCAGGCGGGCAAGCGACCACTCAACAAAAGTTGCTTGATTAGTGCCGAAAGGCGAATACTTTTTCTTAGGCAAACCATGGGGCGATTCAACGACAGGCATTGTCTTTTGATGGCGCTTCCACATAGGGGAGTACAGGGCTGCAGCATTGTTGAAAGGTCCACCAAATAGTTGCGACCTTGAAACAGCGGTACAGGAAATCTTTCCAAGTCCAGCAATGGCACAACGAAGCATTTTATTTTCTGTAAGTCTTAAATATTTTCAGCGTCTTTTTACACAAATCTACGGAACAGAAACTTACTGGTGTTCTCAAGTACTTTCAGTTTATTTTTCAATGACTTTGTGAGACTTTAATTTGAAGTGACAAGCATAGTATCGACTAGACATTAAAACGAGCGAAATGGAAAGGTTTTGCTTGGCCTACTTATTCCAAAATATTTTGAGAAGACGATACTAAAAAGTTCTTAAAATTGTTTTAAATTCTAAATATTTGTATCGCGTTAATAGGATACAAATAATGCAGCCATACTTCATATGTGACAAATGCGTGGCAGGTCCATTTCCAAATTTTGACAAAGCCCAAAACGCACCTTGAACCTTAATGAGTTTCTATGTATAATGAACAATTTATTCGATAATTGACGGCTACTAAAATCTAGGGGTGAAAAGCGCCCCCCCCCCCCCCCCCCCCCTTTAGATTCTGAACGGAACAAAAATTTTGCAGACAAATTGGAATTTGTGCCGCATTGTACAAAATTCACGAAAAAAAGACATCCATTTTATGGCTACGGTTACTTAATCAGCTAGATTGCTGTGAAGATATAATGTTGAGAATATATATATATATGGGCATGAAAACATTGTGTTAATATGCTCAACATATAACTCTTAACTAGTTTTGGTTTAACTGTTCAGAAAATTCAGTTTCAGTTCTGAACTGTCGAAACAAAATAATTTGAGATTTCTTTATCTGCCATAACTTTCTTTTGATAACTGCCCCGACCCCAGATACGGATCCAATCCATGTTAGCTTGTAAAAAAAAATCTGTTCAACTAAAACGCATACGAATTCTTTTTAGAAAACTAACTAGACTTGATACTATAAATTGATTTTCAAACTGAGAGCAGCACCCTTTAGAAAATTACATATTTTTCTCTCCGTTTGCACGCCTCTTCACAAATCTTATTTTTTTGCAAGTTTTTTTTATATTTTATTGCATTTGAAATTTCAAATTTGCATTACCTTGAATTTCATTTTTCCATATTTGCATGTGTTTTTTGTATAGTGCAATTAATTTGAGAGTAAAAAATTAACCAAAAAATCCTTGCCCCCCCCTGGACTAAATCCTGGCTACGCCCATGGTCGTTAGTCGAAATATTAATAGTTAGAAGAGTCGACGTGGTATTTCAACTATTCAACAGCTATAACTAATACTGCCAATACAAAAAATTACAAGAAAAGACGTTCAGAATTCATGTATGTTTGGATATGCTAGAGTTGAAAAAAAAATCGATTCAGAATTAATTTAATCGATGTTTAACAATTTTGATAAAAATCAATTTTTTGGCTAATCGATTAATCATAAAATCAGCGTTTTGAAAAGCTATTTCTATCAAGTCCATAAACTTTCTGTGAATTGTATTAAAATTGTTTTCACTGCCTTGATTATCTTGCATGTCGATATACTTGTATATAATATTGCAAGACTAAGACCAATTCAAGCTTCTTTGCTATGCCAGAATTAATTTCGAGTTTAAAGATGGACCATAATTGTTGCTAAGTGCAATAGTTATGTTTAAATACTACCATGATTTAATCCAAAACTACTTTCGAGGCGTTGCGTTAGTATTTAAAACAATTTATCATCCCTGGTAATAACAAGTGCAGCAGCAACAACTTTAAAGAAACTTTTCCATCGATCCGTCCGCAATTACGTGGCACTCTAGTAGGAAACAATTTATCAGACAACACTGCCCCAAATGTACGCGCAAAGTGCATGCCACAGCATATTCGGTTTTCTTTTTCCCTGCCCCCCTCTTGGGGTTTTGCAGCAAAGCCAACAAACGGGCAAACAAACAGAGCCTTGAACTATGCAACAGAAATAGAAAAACAGTTGAGAGCATTGAACTTTGTACGCCCACAAAGCAACTGACGAGCAGACCAGCTGACGACTGCAGACTGCCGACTGCAGACTGCCGACTGCAGACTGCTAGAATCAAACTATAGTCGTTGTCGTCATCACATCGAGACTTAGTCGTCTCTTAGGGCCCGCCTGTCCGTCAGCCTGGCAAATCGTCACATCATTATTTATACGCTCAAATATAGTGTTTTGGTCTAAAAATGTGCTATGGCCAAATTGAAAACAGCTAACAGCCGCAAATGCACTTAACGTGCCAGCCAGTGCCCCGCCCCTTCCCTAACCTGACAGCCAGATAGATAGCGGGATGGTCGAGGAGACCCACGAAACCCGAAGCCAAGTCGAGCGTATTGCCCAAAAGCGGCAAATTTATTGCGCGCGCCAAAAAGCAAACGGGCAATTTACCAAACGCTGCCCGCAAGTGAATTGCAATTGGCCAAGGGTTCGGACTTGAGACTGGGCCAAGACAGCTTGGGTTGGGTTGGGTTGGGTTAGGTTGGGTTGCACTGGGCGGCACTGGGTCGAAGTGGGCTTGTCTACAGCTGCTGTTTCTTCTTCCTCTGCTTCTGTTGCATGCTTGTCTAATTGCTGCGCTAAATTAACACGTATACGCCAAGTGGCGTATGGCTAGATTTTTGTCTGCGTGCTGAGCAATTGCCATAAAAGCAGCGCAACGAGGGCGGTTCGAAATGTAAGATAAAACATGTACAAGTATATATCTTAATTATAGCTTAATTTTATTTCGCAATACATGTCTTATTAATGAATTGAAAAATTACTTGTTACATAGATTTTATAGAAGTATTTGCTTCTTACCAAAGATTAGAGATCAAATTTAAATTGCTTTAAAGAAAATGCAGTTTAATTTATTGCAAACAATCAGTTATTCATTTATCCACACACAATAACAGTAATTAGTTTTATCTAATCATTATTACATAAAGTGGCGGTGCTCTGCCAGCATTTAACCACTAAAAAAGCATAGACACAGAAGCAAACTAAATTTAAGTAATTAAGAAATTGGTTATGCATATGTCTGCACATGTTGCTGCTGTATTGATTTAATTCAATTTAACTTCTTCTTTCAATTTAATAAATGATTTAAGATTTTAATTTTATAATTGTTTTGTTTGCCTTGCCGATCTCTGTACTCAAAGATATTTACAAACCACCTTGTTAGTCTGCTGAGCTGAACAAACTACGAGTTGAATGTAAAATACAAGTCAACTAGCCTGTGAACAAAAATATTTATCCCAGCTTAGAACCCTATGAGTCACTTATAAGTGAGATAGAAAAAAAGTTACGCATTTTTCGTGGGCCAGCTTCTTTAGCAGCATTAAATCCACAATTTACTCTTCACGGCTATGTAATCCATATTTTCTACCGACCACTTGTGGATTCTTTGAATTTTTTATCATTTTTAACTGAGCCCCCAAGTTTTGATTAACTCTTCTATTTGCTGAGTTTGTGTACTACTCCCCAAATAAATTTAATTCTTTGAATAATTTTGTTAAGTCAAAATGAAACAAATCTGTAATATACATCTTTAGTGTATACTATATATCTAGAGCTTGGCCGATATGAATGTTTCCTCTGCTACTCCTTTTAAAGCAATGTAATAATTTGTCAATAAACATTAACAAAGTATAAATATATCTATATATAGTATATATGTATATATATCTATATATCTTTGATGAAGTCAAAGTGTGAGAAACATAATAAATAATGAGTTAAGAGGTGGTTCAAATGTTATAGTTGTGGAATGTTATTCAATGTGTCTTACAATAACAATTTAATCCTCTTTAGCCATAGGCCACATACTAACTAACAAGTATACATTACTCTTTACGTTCTTGCTTATCTCTCCTTAAAGAGGTTTATTTATATTCCATTTGTTCTAAAATGATCCGTATTTAATACCCCCGACTAATAGCCGCCATATCTTTGGAACTAGCCAAGTTTTATTAACAAAAACTATTTTAAAATTACGTCTTATCTGATTGTGCTAGTCATATACTACGTAGTATGTACCTATAACATCTGGTCTGCCATTCTGCCATTCTGCGTGTTTAAAGTTTTCACAACTAGTTTTCGCTGAAATTTATAGAAATTTATTCAAGCAATCACGTTAAAGTACCCGTAATTACGTGCATGTGGTTGGTCTAGGTGCTCAAGTTATTTCTTTTAGTAAAATCCTTCGTGCATACACACTTCTATACACTTAGTTTTTGAAAGGGGAAATCCAAATTGAATTCCCATTTTTAAATGTGCCTTTTTATCAACCAGCCCACTTATATGTGATTTTATGGCCACAACATGGTAGCAACAACGGCAACAGAAAGCAACAACAACACTAACCAACAGCCAAGACTTCGTTGTCGCTTTGTTGCATATTTTACAGCGTGTTGTAATGCGCACGTTTTATGGCCACAATTTTACAGTTAGCTGCCTGAACTCACCTCCTACCTAACTCGGGCCACCCACCTCCTACCCCTGCCTCCTGCCTTCTGCTTCCTGTATTTCTGTCTTCCTGGCTGCCCCATCCTCGTGGCTGGCAAACGACTTGAAGGTGCCAATATTGTTGTTAACTGCAACTGCCTGATAGTTGCTACTTGTTAGCTGCTGTTGCTGTTGCCATTGCTGCTGTTGTTGTTGGCGTTGTTGTTGTTGTTGCAAATGCAGCAAATGCCATTTGCCGCTGCTCGTTTCAGCGCACTTTCCTGTTCCTTTGTTGTTGCTATGCCATTTGCAATTTTTATTGCAATTTCGTTGCCACTCAGCGGGCAAAAATACATTTTTAGTTTCTAATCGACGCGCGTTCATCGCATAAAAATAATGTAATAAACGATAATCCTGCACAGGGCAGCATGCGCTCAATGCCATGCTTTGTAGGGTCTGCATGTCTCTATGTATGTATGCATGTATATAAGTTTGATAATGGCTTGCTTACATTGCTTGGGGAGTACGGGGGAATTAGGGTTGTATGGGGGTGTGTGCGTCTATCGGAAGCTTAAAGTCTAGCCAACAATTAAATTTGACGTTCCCATTTGCAATTCATTCCCGACATTTAATGAACTTTGGCAACTTAAAAATCTCTGCCCTGTATAGTGACAGAGTGGCAGATAGACTGATGGGCAGATGGATGAACTACCCTCGCAGCTGCTGCTTTATATTATGCAACCTGCCTTTTAGACCAACCAG